ACCCAATAATATTGAAATTTTAAATTTAACAAATTGGATTCTTTATTTGACAAATATTAATAAATAAACTGTGAATTACAATATAACCTTCCGTTCCTGGTTTTGCGTGACAACGTCGCGCAGCTACCTTATTTTAACAAATCATAGTTGCAGAAAAGTGGATAATGCGGTAATGTGACCTCTACTTGCATTGTTATGGGTCCTGGTGGAACTATAGATGGCGTTAGAATTATTGAATTACAGCTTTACGGCATTTTGCCAGATGGTAGAATTAATTACGGCACAGTACCTGATTGCTGTAAATATATATGCCGTAATGCCGTAATGCCGAAGTATCAAAGCAATTCTTGAATGTGTGCCAGGTCTGTGGCGCAGAGAAAATTCTTTAATTAACCATAGCTGCCGCAATAAAATTGCAAAAATTTTGGCCCGCATTACATAATTGTTTACTAAATTCTGGTCGAAATTAACTTTTTAACTTTTTTATTCCAAAAATAGAAATTTTCAGAGAAATAGACCCACATGATGGTAAAATTATCCTCGCCAAACTTTTGATCGGTGTTCTTGGCCAATGAAATCGAGAATCTGCCGGGACGTCGATCATTGTGTGTAACAAAATTTTTTCACAATTTTCGACAAAACGAACTTTTGTTTTGAAACTTTACTGATCGTATTACGTTACACCTGATTCTTTAAATATGTTTTGTAGATTAGAGATTTGCGCCACAATGATTGACACAGAGTTCTTTCATGCTTCAAGAATTGCTTCGATATGAACCTGAAGTTGAAAAAGATGAAGCCTTTATAATCCCCGTGGCCTGCCACGAACCATATTCCAATAAAAGACCAGTAGGTCGCCATTCTAAAAGGTTGAAAGACAAAATAAAGGAAAGGCACAGGTTTATTTTGCCCAGACCAAAGCCTTAGTCAAATCACTAGTAAACATGAACCCACTACTCCTAGTAGTACTACTATTAATCATAGACCTATCATTACCAGTATTAGAAGCCTTATTAGCCTCTCCTACAAGACCTTAAATAAAAAAAAGCTTATTTGTAATTGATCAAGTAGCATTATATGATGTAGCAAAGGATATTATAAATGTAAAAGCTAATGTAATGTTGGGACAAATGTTACAATACTTTGTTTAGAGACAGAAGCTCATGAAAGCCTTATGAAGCCTGATACTCTCATTAAAGCTGCTATTACTTTCTTAAGCCTATGAATGTTGTAGAAGATCAATTGAATTGGAAAACCACAGCTGCTTACTGTTATATAAAAATAAAACCCAATTTAGTAATTGACATGTTAGATTTCAGCACACTTTGAGTATTATGTTCAATAAAATAATAGAGAAGTTGTAATTAAAAATTTTAGAATAATACACAACTATCATTGTAACTACAAATAGTACCCATGTTAGGGTTTTAGAAAAAATTATTAAAATGGTTTTAGAAAGAATTTTGATTTTCATTACTTTTCAAATTATTGAATTAAAGAATAAGTAAGATCTTTTTTTTAAGAATGGATTGGTCCAAACAAGCACATGCCTGTTTGCATATAAATAAAAGTAAATTATATATGCACTATCAAGATTAAGTTGTTAAGATTCTAATGTTATATGATAATGAGTATTCTTCTGTTAAAGTTATAAAAAAATAAAAAAATAAGATGTTTAATGAGTTTGAGTATAAAGACAAAATATTGGATGAAGCTAAAGAATATTTCATTAGTAAGTATTAAATAATAAACCTTTTGATAACCTGTAAAAGAATTACTATAGTTTTGCTGCATGCTTGTCATACATGAAAGAAATATTATCTAAAAAGCTTAATCTTAAAGATGTACTCTTAGAAGTAAGATTAAAAACAGTATATATACAACCTATCTAACTATTAAACAAGTTCAAAAAATCAAAATCTTTTTAAATAATAAAAACATGTTTTTATTTAGAATATGAATAATTTGAGTCAAATAACTTTAACATACATAAAATTGATGCTAGTAATACATAATACTAATTTAACAACATTTCTATTATATTGTTCTTAATAAATATATTTTTATAAAAAATAAAATTAAAAAACTCAATATAAAAGATTAGTAAGAGAAAATATAAGACTGTATCTATTTTTTGTAATTGTTATATTTAAAAAAATAAACAAATTATATCTATATATTGATTATTAAAACTTAATATAATTATAAAAAAGATACATTTTTTTTCCATTTTGACCTATTAGAAGTTTTTAAATTAACAACTTGGTTTTTAATATTAGACCTAATATCTAACTATTAACAGATTTTTATAAATAAAAGTAATAAAAAAACTATATTTATAACAAATTTTAGTACTTTTGAGTTTATTATAATGTTATTTAAGATTATAAATATTTTTATTACATTTTGGTGAATAATAAACAAAATTGTTTTAAAGTTTTTAAACCAATTTATTATTAGTATAGTATTTTTATTTATTTAATTTTAGCTGCATATACATTAAATTTTTTATATATATTTATTTAATACTTTGCTAAATTACTTTTTACACTTGTATAGTATTAATTCTTTATATTATTAAATTTGTAACTATATAAAAAATTAATATATTCAAATTTGATTATGCTTTCTGTAAGACTATTTTAAAGTTAAATTTATTTTTTAAGAAGTTATTATAATTCTAAATATTATTCTTCATAATTTTTTAAATATTTTTTATAAGATTAACATTAGAAATTATATGAACTAATTTATATAATCAATATTATTAAATTGAACCAATCTGACATCTTATAAATTTAAGTATTATTATTCTAAAAATTAAATAAAGTTATTTAATAAAGGTTTAGGTCACAGATTATATGTCTGAGTCTTTATTCTTTATATGTAATTTAAAAGCAAGCTTTTCTTTGTAAAAACTTCAATTGAATTTCAATAAAGTTAAAGGCATGGCCTCATCGTTAATATTAAAAAAAAAAAGTTATTTAATAAACAAACTATAGAAATAAATAATATAAGATGATTGTTTAGAATCTTAGTATAATTATTTTTATTAATTTTTTACTTAAAATGTTTGTAATTAGTAAAAAAAATTATGAAACCATTGATATACCAGAAACGGAGTATGAAATACGAAGTGTATAGTTTTATAGCAAGTTAAGTAAAGTTCGCAATTCTAGGCATTTGATTGGATGCCTATACCTTGTGACTTTGTGTGCATGCATTTGTGATGATGATTATTACCTAAATTTACCATACTGTGTAATATTCTCATTATATTATTTGATTTATTGTGTGGCTTTTGTATGTGCATCAAGTTTTGTTGTGATTTTGTTAGAATTGTGTATTGTGCCTTGTAGTATTTTTTTTTTATGCCAGGAACAGAATTTGTACAATGTAAATGTAGTGTATGGTTTATAGGCGATTAAAATTTTGATGTGCGAAATTATGATCTAATTGAATGATTGATTCTTGTGACTTTGTTCTGAGTCATTTCGATTTTACCATACATTGCTTCAGAAGTGTTAGACAAACAACCAAATACTAAAGCATTTGATATTTATTCATTTCAAATAATTATGTGGGAAATTTTAAATGACAAACCTGTACCTTTTGTGCAAAACACAGAATCACAATTCGAATTCCAAATCCAATTACAAATAATTAATGGTTTATGTCCACAAATTTATGAAAGTACTGCAAAATGCTATGCAGATTTAATAAAGCGATGTTGGAATATAAAACCAAAAGAATGACTGACAGTGGAATAAATTTGTGATATTTTTATAAAATGGCAGAATAACAAATATATTTTATCTAAATTATCTGAATCTGATGAAAAATTACAAAATATAAGAAATAAAGATATGCAATCAAATATT